CCTTCCCTTCCCTTCCCTTCCCTTCCCTTCCCTTCCCTTCCCTTTCCTTTTCTTTTCTTTTCTTTTTAATACAAACAACAGGACAGCAGCCACCTGGGACAAGACCCAGCTGTGATGACTGGGCCAGGACCACACCTTGGTCTGTGAAGGCTGTGCATGGTGTGGTTTGAACACCGTCAGTCCAGGCTTACACACATGGTGGCTAGGGAATGGAGGCAAGTGGGTTCTGTGTGTCAAGAAACAACAGGTTCAATAGCACTGAATTCGGGGACACTGGTCATGGAGTGTCTTCCTGCCTGTCCAATTAGCAGTTACTACATTGAGAGCCACCTGGCACTGGGATTGGACAGGACCAAGGGAGCATGGCCACTGGGGACAGATCCCTCCATGGGATCAGAGATTAAATCGGGAAGTGGTGTTCAGTATGAGGGAGTGATAACAAACACCTTGAGCCGTTTGATTCCAGGGGGATGATGGGTCCCCAGAAACCCGGGTCAGGGCCTAGGCCAGGAGCAGCTTTCGACTTTTGCATCTGATGTCTATGGTGAGGGAACATGGGACCTGAAGTTCTGCCCTGGCTCAGAGCAATGGTGGACAGGCCAAGGAGAGTCTTGTTCCATGGGTAGGTAGATTCTCGCTTCACACGCAGCTTGCTAGGACATCCCTCCTGGATATTAGAAACTGTGAAACATACTATACCTGCTCAGCTTGGCAGCATGCAGTGAATAATTCCTATGTAGGTTTGTGCTCATCCCTCTCCATCCTTCTTGAACAGGAAACTTGGAAATCACTGAGGGCCACGCCTCTCCCAGGACCCCCAAGTACAGATAGAGGATGCTAACCCCACAAGCAACCAGAGGAACTCACCTGCCCCTGTTCAGCCAGCGCCTTCTCCAGGTCCTCCACCCGCGTCTGTGCTCTCTGGATTTCTGCTTGCAGCTGCTCACGGGTCTGTAAGAAAGGAGGAAGAATACATCAAATTTTCTCTAACAGCCTAGACAGACAGACAGACGTACTTAGAGATGCAGGCTGCAGAGCGCTCTGCCTCAGTCCAGTTAATTGATAAGTAGTTGTGCTTTGTTTCCAAAACCCTAAGTTGTAGAATTGCCTTTTGTCCTGCAGGGTAAATAGAGAGAGTGTGGCCAACCAGGACCAAGACCTCACAGCTGTCTGCTCAGGAGAGCCCCACCTCCCCGGGAAGCAGCCTGCCTCACCACGTACTGCACCAGCCACATCTAAGGCAGCTGCCCCTGGAAAGCAGTGAGGAGGATCCCTTTTCCTGTGTCCCTCCCTGAGACTTGGTGCCCTTACTGCCTCCAATAGCTGGCAGATAATGCCTCCCCCACCCACCAACCTACCTGGGTGCTGCTGACTGATGAAAGAGACAGGAGCTTTGCAGCCCCTGTCTACAAACCCTGACTTCCACACTCTCCCGAACCTCTCTGTGTGCCTTCAGAGGCTGCAAAGGTGGTGCCATCTTACAGGATGAAGGCCCTGTATACCCTGACTACAGCCGTTAGCAGAGACAAGGATCCTCACCCATATCTACTCTGCCACCACCCATGCCATTTCCACCCCTAGCTCAAACTGATCCAACCTCAGGTTCCAGAACCCTGGCATTTAATGGCTTCAGTGCTAATACCCAGGACCCAGGAACTGCGGGATAGAAGGAGCATAGCTCAAAAGTTTAAGTAAGTGGAGTGTCCCTGTAGGGCTTTGGGGACAAGCGGGGAGGAGCTGAGTGGGAGCTGGAATGTCGTCGCAGAGTAGAAGTCATTTAGACCTTAACTTCTCGCTCTGCATCCAGGGTCCCTCCGACTTGTTCCTGCAGCAAGGCATAGGCTCGCTGCAATGCCTGGTACTCCATGGTCAGCTGCCGGAACCTCAGCTCCGTCTCTTCCTTGGCCATACCCTAGAGAAGCGCATGGGCGCCACGCAGGCACCACACGTGCAAAGAGAGATGTAGCATTAACCTGTGCCCCTCTCAGCAGCACCCCCAAACAGCCAGACTCCACTCTTCCCAGTGAGGTAGAGTAAGTAGTCATTCTAAGAGACACGCCAGAGGGACTCTGAAGCCTGTGGGGAGGGGTACTACTTGGGACCCAGCGATATACAGAGGGAGGTTTTCCTGGGAGGTGACCCTTGGCTCCTGGGGTGGCCGGCTGAACTGGTGGTGATGAAGCTAGGATAAGCCTCATTGGTTGGCAGCCAGTGACCAAGGGCTCAGTTGGAACTCCTATTTGCCCTGACCCAGAGGGCTCTTTAGGACAGATGAGGCTCCCCCACAGCTCTTCTGGCAGAAATGTGTCAGGAGAAGTACAGCGAGGTTTGCGAAAGGAATACAGGGTCCCAGGTAGTGCAGCCCCCCACAGGCCTGTGCCAAGATCGTTCACCTCAGGCTCACACCGGCAGAATCACCCCGGATATGTGCTTCTAGCTACACTATCACCTGCTGCCACCGCTACAGAGCAGATGCAAGTGGGTCTGCTGTCACCTTGGAGTCCCGGTGTCCCTCAGTCTGGAGAGCAGGACGTATCTAGGAGTGACCGAGTCCATCTTCCCTCCCTGTCCCCACCTGTTCCCTAAGGCTGATGGTAATGGATGTGTTATGATAGCTTAGATTTCTAAGCAAGTCCAAAGCCTTTGGGCCATGCTCCAGCATCTACCAGGAAAGGCCATGTCTAATAGCTTTGCCACTGGATCTGGTCAAGGTTGTGAACCACCACTTCCTGTCCACAGGGGCTGGTCAAGTGAGAGCAGTCCCTGCAAGGGAAAAAATCCTGATTTTTCAGGCCTGGGAGCTTAGATGGTTGCTGGACTTAAGGTGGCCATCATTCTGGCAGGAGGGGTTAGCCAGCCAGGATACTTGGCTGTTTTTTCTACACTAAAAGGTTCTGCTCAATGCATGGAGACTCTGCTGTGCCTGAAATGGTGCTGGCCTCTTGCTGGGAGGTTAAGACCTTCCTGGGGAGCCTTTGAAGAGAGTGGAAAGCCCTATAAGGGGCTCACGCTGCATGGAAGGAGGAAGCATGACCAGACAAGGAGGCAAGGAGCAGCCCTCAGCAGCCACACACCCAAGCAATGTGAACGGCGTTCCTCACTGTGCAAATGGGAGGACTGCCAGGGGTAGGCCAGAAGATCCACAGGGAACAGTGTTCGCATGAAACCTCCACCCTACCCCTTGCCCCACCTGACTCAGTGCCTCATCCACCCCCAAGGGCTGGCTAGTCAAAGAACTCTGTGGGAGACCCGAATTACCTCTTCCAGGTCATCTTCAGGGGTGCATGGGGTCTGGTCTGTCCTGTCAGTTTGGTAAGAAATGGAAGAGCCATCGGATTCCAGGGAAGCTTCTTCATCATATCCGAAGAAGGTCTCCACAACGACTGGCTTCTGACCCAAAGGCAATGTATTAGTGCAAACCCCGGCCAGGGGTGGCTGGCAGCCCTCGGCCTCCTTTGGCCTCTTCCTGCTGCCCAGGTATGGGGTTACAGCTGAGTAGCTGTCCCCGCACCGGGCAGCTCTAATATAATTCACCCTCTTCTCAGTTTGCTGCTATCCTTCAAGAAGGGCCGGGATTGGTCTCCCACGGGCCAAGATAGAGGCCTGGGCATTAATTATTAACCAGCTTGGTTATCCTAGAGGAAGGGTGGTAGAGGGTAGATGGGGAAGTGGCCCATGGTCCCCGGATAAATGGTCCCTGAACTTGACCTTCATGCCTGCTGAACTCATACAGGGTGGCCGGCCGGTGAGTTCCACTGGGCTGGGCATTCACTCTGCAGCCACGCGTCTCTGCTGTACTTTCACACGTGTCTACCTTTGACAGATTGGACTAGAACCCAAGCACAACCAGGTCTACCACCAGCTAGCTTCAGAAGCCTTTCCTTCAAAACCCTTAGCTTTGTTCACCTAGGCTTTAGGAGTGCTATAAAGCCCAGAAGGCCCCTGCTGTGGGATGTCTTTCTGCAAGCTGTGAATATGTGTTGCTCCCATTGGTTAACAAATAAAGCTGCTTTGGACTATGGCAAGGCAGGGTGGAGTCAGGCGGGAAATCCAAGCAGAGATACGGGAGAAGGGCAGAGTCTGACAGACGCCATCCAGCCACCCCAGGAGCAACATGCCAGCAGACCGGTAATGCCACGCAACATGGCAATACTTAGATGAATAGAAATGGGTTAGTTGAAGTTGTAAGAGCTAGTTAATAATAATCCCGAGCAATAGGCCAAACAGTTTGTAATTAATATCAAGCCTCTGAATGATTATTTTATAAGCGGCTGCAGGACCCCGTGGGATGCAGAAAAGCCTCCGGCTATAAGCCCCCATCTTCTTTTGGACACATTCAGGGTCCCCCCTTCCTCAACTGATTCTGAACTAGTGACTGGCCATTGTGACCTTGAGTCTCTCTATTGGTCCCTCTTTCAGAACCTACCAGGAAAGCTTGAACTTGGGTCTAGGACCACCAGGTGCCCTCACAGACTGCATTTTCTAGCCCCTTTCCTCATGTCCCTTCCCAGGTACCCACATCTTCTATCTTCCTCGTGCCTGGCAGTGCTCCGGGCTTTTCTCCGGTGAGCTGACCGCTAGCCCGCCTTTCTGGTGGAATGACCACTGGACACTTGCTTAGTGGAGTCGTGCCCTTTCAAAAGAAGGACTTGCCTGTGCCCCAACCTTTTTCCTGTACCCCAGTCTTTCCCAGGCATCTCCATAGAAATACAGAAAACAGGCAAGTCAAATAAACACCGACTTGAGGGAGTTTCCTCAACCCTCGGTCCCTCGCACGCACTCCACCTCCCTCTCGGCTTCAACTCCTGTGGTCCCGCTCTGCTGGTGTTGCAAGAGCATCTGTGCTGAAGAGCCTCCAGCTCCAGCTTTCCACTGGCCAGTGCCCACCACACGCTGGGGTCTGCAGCCTGGCCCAGGCTTCCTATCCTCCAGGCCTTTTGATTCGGACTTCCCTTCTCTTGAACACTGAGACCAGAGTGGGGGATGTCTTGGTGGAACTGGTCCCAGGTGTATCCGATGCCCCTACTGTTGAACTCAGCTGGCTGTACACACCACTGTGTGCACACTGATCACCGACCTGGTGAACTTGCCAAACGTCAACTCAGGGAAACAGTCTTACTGCCCGTCTATGCGACTGTGAGACCATCTGTCTACCCGCCAGTCAGAGCCAGAGTTTCTTCCTCACATTTTACCCGAATAATCGGCATTTCAGACACCTTGGGGCTTGAGCTGTAAAGACAGCCAGGGCCTCTTTATAACCCACTGAGTCTCTCAGTGCTGCTTGTGGATGAGGAGAGGGATTGGGGAGGAGGTGGAGAGAGGAGCAGGGGGTTGATATGACCAAAATGCAATGTATGAAATTCTCAAATAATGAATGAATTCTAAAATTCTAAAAGCAGCCAGGGCCACAAACAAAACAAAACACAAAAACCCTGGAATACACTTCCAAGGCCACTTGAACTTGATGCTCCCAACTACGACCCTGCAACCCTCAGATAAACAGGGTCCTTCTCTCCAAGGCAGGTTGGCCTGATCTCAGTTGACAAAATTTAAAATGATAAACAGAGGACTTGCTTTGAGTCCTATGTGGGGTTATTTCAGAGTGACGCTTTTTAATAGAATTTTCTTTTCATGTGCACAGGAAGAGCTTCACCCCTCCTGTACAGGTTTTAGAAGCTTGTGTCTTATGCCCAAGCCCTCCCTTCTTTTACCTTGGGGAGTTTCGCCATTTTCTTTCTTTGTTTCCGGTACCTCAACAGCTTATCACGCTCCTGCAAAAGCCAGTTGGAGGGGTCTGTTTAAGTAGCTGAATGGATGTCTGGCAAAGTTCATGGGCTTAGGTTTGCTCCGAATCTTGTAGAAGGCGGTCTTGGGCATGAAGGCTTCTTACAGAGGTCTCTCTCTCTCTCTCTCTCTCTCTCTCTCTCTCTCTCTCTCTCTCTCACACACACACACACACACACACACACACACACACACACACTAGCAACCCTCTGCCAGCCTGAGGCAAGCAAGGCCCCATGTAGATGGGCCCTGGGCTTGTGGAAAACTGGACATTCATGGAGGGCGGCTGGTCCAGGCCCCTTTGCTCCACAGAAAGGGGCCCTTGCGTATGGAGAAGTAGTTCCTGAGACACTGTACAGACCAGTGCCTGCTTCGCTGTTGGGAAGTTACCAACAGTGCCTTTGTGTGTTCACTGTGAGGGTGAGGAAGACCAGCCAGGATAGCCTTTCATGTTAGTTAGAGAAACCGGTAGGGGTGGCAAAGGTGGCCTCTTGGTTCTGGCCTTTAGGGAGGTAACAGAAAAATCACCGGAGCTGGTGCTGTGTCACCTGGGGTAGCTGTTCCTCTGTGACCCAAGAACTGGTTCCTAGTGCTTTGGTCAGGGAGTGCTGCGCTAAGTCCCACTCAAGACTGCTACGGCTGCTTCTGTCACGACTATAAAGGCCTTGGGCACAGAATGGCTCCCCGCAGCTACATGCAGCAAACAAAGCAGTGCCAGTCGGTACTTACCAACACGCTCTTCACATAGCCTGCCGTCTCCAGGGTCTAGGGGAAGAAAACACCATGTGACACAGTGGACAGGACAGACCTTGCTCTACAGGGGCCCTAGAGAATGGCCCCCAGGATCCATGAACTCTAACCTCAGGGTTACATGGCTGGTAGAGGCCTAAGGGCCATGTACTCACTCCCCAGAAGGAGGTTTGGGCCCTAATACTCCTTCCTCTCTTCTGAGGACTCCCGGAACCTTCCAGAATACTAGGAGTCTCTGTTCACAGTGGGCATCCTGTTACTCCCTCAGAGCAGGAGAAAGAGGCCTTTCAGAAACTGCCATGATACGCACCCATAAGCAACCAGCATTTCAACCATTTCTACTTCTCTCATCATCATCATTGTTGTGACTGAATGAGAAAAGAACTCAGGTCCCCAGCAGGGCCAGCAAAGTGAGACCCCAGTGAGGCCACCCGCAGTCTGGGGAGTCGGGGGGGAAGGATCGTCCAGTGTAGTTTCATGGGGGGGGGGGCAGGTTTGGTCCTTACAAGACAGGCCGGAGACAGAAATCTGCGTCACGGTTCTGCTCCCGCCTTCCAAAGGACACAGAGTGACTAGAGGCAGCTCGTTTTGAAATAGCCTCATCGTGGACTCAACCAGGGTTCCAGCAGGAAGCAGAAGGTACTCTTAGGATAGAGTGGAGAGTTCCAGGAAGCACCACTTAGAAACCCTTGCCAGCACACAAGGACAGAGAAATGGAACCACCGACATGGTAGCCCGCAAAGGTGTCCACAGCTCTACCCACCAAATCTGTGAATGGAACCTGATTTCCAAATAGGGTCTTTGAAGATGTAAAGATGCTGTGATGAGACCATACCAGACTAGGATGGATCCCAAACCCAGTAACAAGATTCCCACAAGAAACAGAAGAGGAGACTATTTGAACAGAAGAGGAGACTATTTGAACAGAAGAGGAGACTATTTGAACAGAAGAAGAGGAGGCCATCCATGGTGGTATTAAGTGGAAAGACAGGGCCACAGCAGGGAACCCTGGGGTCCACAGGGCTGCTCAGGAACGAGTGGTCCCAGACAGAGTGCGTGTATGGAGGATAGCCACCTACTCTTTGACTTTGGACTTGTGTCCCTGGCTTCCAAAACGTAGAGTAAATAGACGACATGTTCTTAAGCTTTCTGGCTACAGGGTTTTATCAACATTGGCGGGCCTTAGGCTCTGAGGCCCGCAGTGTTAGGAGACTCGGAGGCAGAGAGCTGTTTAAAGAAGGTCACTTTAAGTAGTGACCGTGATGGGGGAGGGCAGCTGAGGAGACCCCACCAGTGCATCCCTGCTCTCCCTTCCCCTCACTTCTGCCCTAGAGAGACGGGTCAGGGAGCACATCAGTAAAGAGTAGAGGGTGTGCGCAGCAGATGGGAGGCGGGGCGTGGCAGCAGAGGACATGTGGGTGCAGATTAGAGGGCATGGAAGCAGAGGATATGCAGTGAGCGGGGTTACAGCTCCAGAGGGGCACACGGTATCAGGGGAACACAGCTTCCCCCAGTGCGTGCACACAAGGTAGCAGAGGGACATGGCTCCAGGGGGCACAGGGCAGCAGGAGGTGTGGCTCCAGAGGGCACAGGAAAGCAGTGGGTGTGGCTCCAGGGGGCATAGGGAAGCATGGGGTATGGCTCCAGAGGGCACAGGAAAGCAGTGGGTATGCCTTCAGAGGGCACAGGGCAGCAGGGTAGTGTAGCAATGCTCACCTTGGAAAGCTCATCAATGAGGTTCTGTTGCTCCACAATCTGGAGCTTTAGGAAGTCGATCTCTCTCTCATCTTGACTTTGATCAAGGTCATTTAAGGAGCTGGGTCTCCGGATGATTCCGGCTCTCTGCCTCTGAAACACCAAGCATGGTGGTAGAGTGACTGACCTGGAGGGTAAGAGCGGAGGACCTCCCTGCCAGGCTGAGTGACAGATCAGGTTTCCCTGGTGTGGCCAAGGACTGTTCTGCTTGGACTTGGAGCAGCCCGCGGCGGGGCACCGGGGAAACCAAGGCCTAAATCTTGGTCATACATCAGGCCTCAGAAAGCCCAGAACGATCTGTGCTCTTCCTTCAGGTCAGGGTCTGAGGAGATGGGCTATTGACTGGAAGGGCTAACGACATGCCTCCTGTGACATCCTATCGAGTCACTTACTCTTAATCTAACTTGGCTCATGGGGTCTGGGACTTTCAGGGCATGAAGGAACAGGCAGACGGCGCTAACCATTCTGCAGTCTGGCTTAGTGGCAGGGGCAAGAGTGGAGTTTACCCTGACACCTGCCGGTGCTCCACAGCAGGCCTGGAAGTCCCATCCCTCCATACACAGGACCTGCTGCTCTAAGCAACTTGCCCGAGCCCCTGGTGTTCCAGGAGGACAGAGGAGACGAGACGCTGCCTAGCTCTCTCTGCCCAGGCAGCTGTTTCTGTGGACCCCTAGCCGGTGCTTACCATTTCGATGTTCTCCTGCGTAACGAATTTCAGCTTGCTTTCTATGCGCCGCAGAGTGTGAGACAAGTCTTCGTTTTTCCGAGTGAGCCGCTTGTTTTTATCCAGCAACGGCTTGTACTGACTTTCAGCTTCCCGCAAGCGCTTCAGCTGGAATGGTATTTATGACATCATGTGAGCCTTTACAGGACATAGAACTGACAGGTCTTTACACAAAGACAGCAAGCTGACCAGTTGGAGCTCTGTGTCTTGGGGTGTTAGGTGAGCATGTGGATACGTTGAGGATCCCCAACCCACAGATGCTCAAGTCCATTGTATGAAGTGGCATTGTAGTTGCATGGAGACTACCACATTCCTGGTGTGCTGTACATTGTAGGGCTGCTTATAATAATCTACTTACAGAGTAAATATAGGAGTTGATGGATAATATTGTTTAGGAAAAGGGCAGAGAGAGACAGAGAGACAGAAAGACAAAAGAGACAGAGAGACTTACTGTGCAGGATGGATGAAATTTTTGAAAAATATTTTTGACCCATGGCTGGCTTCATAGACACATATGAAACCTATAGGTGTGGAGCCTGTCAGTACATAACCGTAGATGCAGAATATGTAGGTGAGGGAGTCTACGGATACAGAATCTGTAGGTACAGGGTCTGTAGATGTGAGGCCTACAGATTCAGGACCTGTAGGTGCAGAATTTATAGGTATGGAGTGCAAGGTGGAAAGTGTGGCTCAAGCTGCAGGGAGAGTCCCACTGCTCCCGCCCACTTCACACCCAGGTGAACCGGAGGTATCTCAAGAGATGTGTCTCTGCTTACCTGCAGACAGAGAGGAAGGGGAAGACCAGCAGGGTGGGGCCAATGCTCTGCTCACCAGGAAGTAAGTGGGGGTGTGATATGGCCCACCAGGTTTTTGTTATAAGGTTTCCTTGTAGTGTGACCAAGAAGCCTTGAGGAAAGGCTGTCCCTTGACATCACCACTCCTCATTTTCATAAGGAATTCATGTACCGATACCTCCCCCTCTCCCCAGACTGCAGTCCTAACCTCTGGAATACAAAGCCCACTCACCAGCTCATTCCTTTCTTCAGACAGCAAGGCGTTGCGGTCCTCTAGTTTGCGGATGATGGCACTTAACTCCGCGATTTTAAGTTGGAAGCGCCTGGCATCCTTTTCATCCAACTGCTGTTCCTAAAACAAAAATCAACTGCAAATAACTGTTCCTAGATGCAAACCTTTGTGAACCCCAACCCAGCTGGAGACCAACACACTTCTGCATTGTGACTGCCTTTGCTTCCCCGTGCCTGCTGGCAGGACCCTCCTGGCAGAGGCACTTGGCCTGGAGCTCATGCGCTGCACACAGCAAGATGGGAAAGCAAAGATGTCTGCAATATGCAAATGTGGCGGGTGAGGGCGTGAAGTGCGGGAGCCCGATTGTGGGTGAGTATCAGCCCCATGCTTCCTCTCGGCCGCTGCCCAGCTGTGCCTTCCAGACGGGCCTGCCCTGCCAAGCAGCAAGTCATTCTCAAAGGATGAGCACAGGAAAAGACATTCCTTGTAGACTTTCTAAAGTAGTTTTCCCCAAAAGTGTGCTCCCTCAAATTGAGTTTCTAAAACTCACTTTTGGAACTACAGGAATGTTAAAAAAAAAAAAAAAATCAATGAGAACATTCTAATGCACGTCTGGAATCTAGAGTTATTGCAGTGGTCTGTAGAGACCCAGGGTATGCAGGGAGTTGGTTCGAACTCAAGTAAGCCATTTGTAATATGATCATAAACGATGTTCTCCAAAGTCAATGGCCCAAGGCTGGATCAGCTCAAACTTTTGTCCCTGAATCAAAGAAAAGGATGTCCAGGAAGGTACTAGACATGGCTCAAATTCCTCATTCAACAGGTGCAGGAGAGGCTGGGGACCAAAGTCTTAGAGGGCTAGCACTGAGGGCCTCCCAGGGTACTGCAGACCACCACAGAGAATCTGAATGAGGAGAGGTGATGAAATGAATATGCTCACAGATACACAGTTGCTGGCTGCCCCACAAGGACACTAGCAGCCTGAGAAGGAGCAGAATGTGTCATGGTCACATGAAAAGCAGGTGGGCAGTGACTAGTAATGCCAGTGCTAGCAACAATCACAAGAGGGCCCAAGCCAGAGACATGGGTGAGGGAGAGGTGGAGCCCGTGCACAGGGAGATGGAAGGGAAGGGAAGCAATTCATGCTTGGAGTGGGCTCTCCCCGCCAACCAAGGGTAGGACATGATCGGCAAGTGACCTTTAGCAACCTGGGGCCCAGGCGGCAATGAGATCAGTGCTTCTACTGGGCTGAGGAGGGAGGGAGACAGTGTATCAGCCCTCCTGGTCAGAGCCAGGTAAATAGGGTCTGGCTGTACAGTGTCTGGGGCAGGAGGGTCTGGCTGGATCCAGGTTCTGGACTCCCCATGGAGCTGCTGCATTGGGGCATACAGCTACATGGCACTATGTGTCTACAACTCGGGGCTGGCTGAGACGAGACCTGGGGTTGCTTACAGGGCTTCCTGAGTGGTCTGAGGCGTCTCCTGCACCGCTTGCATAAGGAAGTTCCCGTCTGGGGCTGCCTGGGTGCCGCTCAGCCTCTTTGGCCTGGGAAAGCTGCTCATCTAGAGCCTCTTTCTGGAGCTGCAGTCTCTGGGCATGCCCGGCTTGAACCCCTAACTCTCTTTCCAGCACGAAGACTGCTCTGTCTTTAAATCTTATCTCCTCCATCTACAAGGAGAACAGAACACAATCACACGCGCAGGCAGGGTACAGATCTGCAGTTACTATAGAAACAGGCAGAGTGGCATTAGGAGAGAAAGTCCCTGTGATGGCAGCCCCACCAGCGAGTGTCTTGGGCTCTGGGATCAGAAGCAAAAGCAGATATTCTGGATGAGAGCTGGGCACCCATGCTATACAATACCCCAGCCCTGGGCCACCCAAATCCAACTGGCTCACCCTGGGCTGGTCCCAGTGAGGACTCCCTTCTAGAGGCCCCAGGCAACAGGTGTCTGCCAGTCAGAGTGGCCCATCAAGAAACCTTCATCCCTTGCTGTACATATTACATATCTGTAATACATACATATTACATGGCAATGGGCATCACTGGGCAGGGTTGAAAGCCCTGCAGTTCTTGCCTCCAGCAGTACAATGGGCAAAGCAGAGACTCATCCTGACATACCCACTCCTGCCACTAAAGGCATGGTGGACAAGATTCTTCTTTGGAATAGGTAAGAGGTGGAGCTGGCTCTGAAGTACAGCCAAAAGCTGAACACTGCACAGCCATGCATCTCCAGGTCACATAGACTCCCTGTGAATCTTGCTGAAGGCAAAGGCTTTCAGGGTAGGGCAGGGGCAGCTGGCCCAGCAGGCTCCAGAAGGCAACACCCACCATATCTAACCTGCCACAGCCCCTGACACTGCTGGGCTAGTGGCGGCCCTCCCACCTTCCCCAAAGGGGCCGTGTGCTTTGTACTCAACCTAGTTATGGCAGCAAGAAGCCCTTTTGGACATGGATGCTACCTGTGTCCTGGGCCTCTTACTGGGGCTGCCCAAGCAGGTGTGTGCTCTGCCTGAGGCTGACCCTACATGGGGAGGGGAAGGGGAAACCTGGGTGCTGTAAGTATCACAACCAGCACTAGCTTTGGAACAGGACAGCAATGAGGGGAGCGACTCAATTCAAAACAGAATTCCAAAGATGACTTCTTTGCTTGCTGGCTAAGGTTTAAAAACACCAATAGGCCAGTCTTTGCTGACATTAGCTGGATACACAGACAGATATGTAATTAACCTAGGCCACAAATTCCAGGCAAGCCATGGGCAGAACAAGATAAAAGAAACCCTTACTGGCTCAATTCCTGTTCAGTGGTGCACACCATGGTGTTGAAAGGGCAACATGGTCAATCAGGGAGGCAGAACGGCTAGGCTGGTAAAAAATAAAACCTTATGAAAGCAGCTAGGTTCTGAGGCTAGGTTCTCACCCAGCTGTTCATTAACAGTCTCCTCTGGGGATGTGAACCGGAGAGTCCCCGCGCAAGCATGAGGTGGCTGCCTGAGCATCTGATGTGAGTGAAGGCAACCCTGTCTTCGAGGTCAATGCCCATGTAGAGATTGGTGACCGGGTCTCCCAAGTCTGTGGTTTTCTCACTCAGTGGTGTTTGTTTGTTGTCTTTTCAAGACAGGGTTTCTCTATGTAACAGCCCTGGCTGTCCTGGAACTTGCTTTGTAAACCAGGTGGGCCTCGAACTCACACCCGCCTCTGCCTCCCACATGGTGGGATTAAAGGCACGTGCCACCACGTCCAGCACTCACTCAGTGTTTTAAGCTGAATCTGTCTGAACCTTTTGTCTCCTAATCATGCTGGGATAGATCTACAAGCCTTCATGGGAAGAGAGCATGTATCTGCAGTATGCCAGGCCCCGCCCAGGTTAGGGTGCTCTGCCTAGTAGGATGGCTTCTCACTCATGGCAGACGCTACTGTGGGTACTGAACCACAAAGAGTAAGATGGACTAGGACACTGTAGCAAAGAGCACAGGGTTCCTGCCCACATGTGTACGGGTGCCCACAAATGTCACCCCCTTTCTTGTGTCATTACAGGCTGGAGGCTGGAGGTCCTAGGCCGATGCTGCCCCTCGCTCCTTCCCTCTCTCCCCTTCTCCCAAGTAGCTTTTGGGTCCATAGAGCAGGCTACCTTCTTTTGGGTCCACACCCATCCCCACATCTGGCATGTAACCTTCCTGTGAGTCTGGACTGAGGGGTTTCTAGAGCACGTCCCTACCACTAAGCCTGGGAAGCCCCATTAAACCTGGAGGAACAGGTCATCTAAGCTACTGTCTCTCCTGGATGCCTGTGACAGCTTCCTGATAACGCATGCGGGCCCATGTCCTCTCCTGTACCCATCTGCTCTGCACCAGAACCAGCATGGACGAATGAAACCGTGTGTTCTTGCTGCTGTGACAGGAATGCCCTTTCCAGGTGGAGATTCAGAATCGTGCTGGAACCTGCTACCTACTACCAGGGTTCCTCCTGCTCTTTACCGCTCCCTTGCTACTGCCTCTAATTCTCAGTTATAGACCTTGTCTGGAAACCACAGAGGGGTTCCGGGGACTTGGAGTTTCCAGGAAGGGGTGTTTAGGAGGATGCTTGTCGAGGACTTACAATACCTCATATCCTGACTCAAAGAGCATGCTCATTACAATGCTTCCCTACAGGTGGCCTGGACTCTGCATCAAAACTTCTTGGGGCCCTGTCAACCCCGTCAACGGGCAGAGACGCACTCTCAGGCACAGAGGTAGAGCTTAGGGGCACCTCCCCCGCCACAGTTGATAGTAAACGTGATCTATCCCCATCCTGCCGTACTGAGAATCATTCCTCCATTTATACCCCAAATGGCCACCAGGCATGTCTGCCACTCAGGGCACACTTCTCACCATGGTGGGTCCCCCACAGCTGTTCCTAGGACAGGCACCTGCTACCCAGTGCTTCTCACTGATGACAGAGGGTGCTCACACCACCTGTCTTCTTCCAGTGGCTCTTCAGGTTCTGCAGAAGACCCCCCCCCCAAACAGATAAACATGCCTTCTGCACCAGCGAATGCTGCTGTTCAGCAGGGTATGTGAGAGGTGAGGAAGGACACAGTGCTTTGTAGTGGGACTCGTTCTCCTAAAAGCTGGTCCTGGCAGGGCTTAGTCAAGTGGTAAAAGTAGGGAAGAGTCCTTGAGGGGTGGGGGTGAAAAGAGAGATGGGAAAGAAAATGCTGACCAGATGGAGAGCCTGGAGGTGGCCAGGTGCAGCCTAGACAGCAGAAGGTACAGAAGGACTAGCTGAGTTGGAGCTGGGGATGTCAGAGTAACAGCTACTCCAGCCTCAAGTCATCCTCAGAGGCAGTCTGAGTGTTGTTATGGAGATGGCAAATAAGACAGTCTAGGCTTTGCACATTCCCCACCCTCAGTGTTCAGAGACACAGGAGGATTTGTGGCATGGCTACTGTGAACTTGAACTACAGACAGAATGCTCAGGTACCCACAATCTTGTGGCAGTCTGTCAACAGAATGACAATGGTGGATTGTCACTGGAATCTTCTAGAAAAATCCTTTGAAATGCTAATTCCAGACATGGAGGGGAAGTTGGCCCTGCTCTTAGCCTTGTGCAGTCAGCAACTCTGTGTGCTGAACAAGCTCATAGTGCCGGAGTGGGAGGCTGGAGACAGGAAGGTATGTGGGAGCCTTGGCCCAGACTTTCCCTGGGGGTCTCCTCCCCTGGAACAGCTAACCTTGGTGAGTGGGGTGGACATTTGGCCAGACGCTAAAAAGGCTGCTTCAGAATCCACACAACGCATTATAAGCAAGAACTTCAGGGTAATGAGGGTGAAACAGATCCACTCTAAAACCCAGCCAGACTCAGAAGGAAACTCATTCTGTAGAGCTATAACAACACTTCCCCCACAGTGTCAGGGATGTGCCACAATGGCAACACGTGCTGTAAAACTTGGAAAAGTAACAACCACAGAGGTAAATCAGATGTAAAAGCAGAGCTGGAGATGAATGTGATATTGGAGTTTGGTGCAGAACAGAACCTAAAAAAATAATTGTGATCAACAGACTGAAAATAATCAATAGGGTTAGTGCCTTAAAATGTTTTTCTTGGGGCTGGTGAGGTTGCTTAGTGGTTAAGAACATTGACTGCTCTTCCAGAGGACCTGGGTTCAATTCCCAGCACTTACAATGGCAACTCACAACTGTCTTCAACTTCAGTTCCAGGGGATGTGGCATCCTCACACATATATACAGGCAAAATACCAATGCACATAAGATAAAAATAAAGTTTCTAAAAAATATTTTTCTTGCCAGGTGTAAGGGCACACATTGGTAATCCTATTAGCTGGAAAGTAGAACAATTAGAAGTTCAAAGTCATCCTCAACTGCATAACAAGGCTATGGGGAACCTGGACAATGTGAGACCTTGTCTCAGAAAAGGGGGAGGGTCTAGAGAGATGGTTTGTGGGTAAGAAGACATGTTGCAGATGCATGAGAACCTGAATTTTGATCCCAACACCTGCAACCCCAGTGTTGTGTGGAGAACAGACAGGACTGTTGGGGCTGGCTGGCCTTCTCCAGGGTCAGTGAGAGGCCGTGTCTCAAGGAAACAGTGTGGAATGTAGTACAACTAGGTACCTGACATCCATCCTCCTGTTGCCTCTGTATGCATCCAAGGGCACATGCACCCATGCACACGTGTGTACATGCAGCACACACAGTACACACATGCAGCAACACAGTACATACATGCAGCACACACAGTACATACATGCAGCACACACAGTACACACATGCAGCAACACAGTACACACATGCAGCACACAAATACAAATTTAAGTCGCATACAAGTATTTTCTCATAGAGATGGAAAATGGTTAAAATGCAATTCAGTTGAGAATTATAATCTATGAAAATACTCAATATCTAAATTAGGAATTTTATTAGCATAACTAGATGCAATAGAATCACAAACGCAGAATAAAAATCCTAGAAAATATCCAGGAGGTAAAGAGGGAAAAGAAATACAAAAAGAATTTCTTGAGAAGGAGTGAGGTGGGGGTGGGGGGTTGGAGAGATGACTCAGTGGTTAAGAGCACTGGCTGCTCTTGCAGAGGACTCAGGTTCAATTCCCAGCACCCACATGGCAGCCTCACACCTGTCTATAACTCCATTTCTAGGGCTTCCAATATCCT